TAAATGCAAATCGCAGATCTCTTTTACATTTAGTAAATGGGTGAAAGAGAGTAGCGAATACATTCGCTGATCATCAGATTTATATGCAGAACGTTTAAAGCTGCGTCCGCCATAAGAGAATTACATTTTCTGAATGTAATATTACTATTTAAGGTATTACTCAAACTGTCTTAAAGAGAATATTCTAACCATAGAAAAGGTACAACTGCAGCCCAAAAATTGTCAATCGGTTTTTCCTCGACTCAGACTAAATAGCTGAGTATTATTGCATTAAGTTCTATTTGAACTATTTTTGAACAATACCCGATTATGGCGATGCAATCTTACACTTGACTTCCGTGTAATGACAAAAATTATCAGATAAAACATGGACTCTTCAAAGCCTATTAAATTAATCAGCTAAACACCCCCAAGGGAAGCTTCGCCGTATCAAACTGGCTTCACTGGAATATTAATAATAAAACACTTGGACTACATCAGCTACAGCTTTCCTCATCTCCCCAACTTTAATATAGGATAATGTATTCCGCACACGGCTGCTGGAACAATATTATCCTTGGGCGCTAACAGAAATTCTGATGAGAGACATGCGCGTGCTACCAAATCCCAGTCTCCCAATTACAATGCAATTAGCAATTACGTGCCTAGCCCAAGGAGCGAGGAGACGGCTATTAATGCTATCTGAATGGCCCGTCCACCTTCCCTTCCAGTTAGTGCACATAAATGCTTCTCGAATGAAAGCAATCCAAACAGGTGGTTTCTTAACATTTTAAAGCAATTTATTCATCTGCGCCCCCACTCTATGAGCATTGTTTTAATGTTATGTTAATGTCAAGTGTTTATGTATTTACCAAGTTGCACAACATCGCAAAGCATTACAAAAACTGTTAGACAAAACAAATAAGCCACTTAGCGTTATAGCACCGGATACTTCCCACGAACTGCGCTTTAATACTTAAAATTACAAACACGTTGTTCAATGTTAATACTTTTGAACAATACTCTTGTAAAACGGCAGGGCAAAACATTCTGAATATAGTACAAAATGCAATCTACCGTTATATGCCCACACATATACCTTAAGCGTAGCCACTTATAATATCACCCTGCACCTTATAAACTGTGCAGTCTAAGCGTATCTGCATCCAGTTCATAGGCATTGCCGTAGCCTACAGGTAACAAGATACTGGAAAAAGTAAGGAATGACTGTTACTTCTTCTCGCCTGCATATACTTTCTTACATATCCATTATTAGTTCTGCAAAACCCACTAGAAAGCGAAGCTTAACTGAGATGAATTCCTTCACAGCTCAGTACGCGTAGAAAAAAAATATATTGTCTATGGATACTTCGCAAGATCATCTTTAAATAACATTCCAGATTACACGATTTAATAGCCGTCTGGTGTAAATAGTAAATAAAATGGATTTTTCAATAATGTAGGATAAGATTGTAATTCTCAATAGAGGGTAAAAAGACGTGACAGGACTGCTATTAAATGTCCAATTAAACAGTGTCTACAGTATTACAAGCTTTTTGTGACCCTCGAATTCATGGTCAAATCTCTCAGTGTTAGTTCAGCAAACCTTGAAAAAGCCTCGACACTATGAATTGAACTCTTACACTTCTTCGCTATACACCGTAGTTCGGGAATAGCGTGACAACCAGATAAATATCCTTATTCCAAACTAAGTCGAGGTACTTGTTTTCTTTCGTCAGGTGGATTAACGTTTCGTGGGCGAAAAATTGATGTTTTTTAAAGCGAGGGGCCTGGGCGCGTGTTTGTGCCGGAGAAAGCGCCATGTGCGAAGGGGCTCGTCGTGTCCTGGGTGAAGAAAAAGTGCTGGGAAGTAAACAACCTAAAGGCAGGCGCGTTGCCCTTTTCTCTGCACCTAGCTCTTAAACATCTGAGCAACCAGCTTTGCTCCTAGAAACATGTTAATTGACAACGGAGCTCATTACGGCATGCACATGTAACGCAGCGAGAAAGATTACAAGGACAAAAGCGCATTAATGAACTGTCAACAATCGGGTATATCTCCACGACCAGATCACTCAAAAATGAGGCATTTACCCGCGACAAAAGATCGCCTGAGACAGGAAGAAAAGAAGACCTAGACTTTTGTTTAGTCAACTCAATTGATTATAAATGAAAGATTAACGGGGGTAGCTTCAGCATTTTTAAGGGTGAAGAAAAAAAGCCCAATTAAGTCCACCAAATGTTAACTACATCGCTTTCCCCCCGTTTAGCCCGAATGAAATTCTAATTAAACCGTCCCTCACGATCGTTTTGGAAAGCAATTTCTTTCCCTCCTGGAGGAGACGGAGCGAGTTGTATTACTTGTTAGGAGCGTTAGTTCTTGGCACAAAGAGCTCGCAAGGCACATTGTAAAATGCCAAGGGGAAGTTAATGAGCATCAGACGAACTCCTTGGATCTATTCCTGGAGAATGGTGATGAAAAGATGGAAGCAGCCAGTAGGCTGTATGGTGTTCTGTACACTGTTCTTTATGTACAAAATTTGAAAAGGGCAATCTACTGCGACACTGCGTTGTTAAAAAAATAAGGCGTTTTCGTAACTGCACATGTAGTCCCGTTTTCATATACTGACAATATCAAATTTAAACTGTATAGCGCATTAATCTTAGGCCTACCGTTTTCTGGTATGTCGCTTCAAAACCATACGCACATTTTAAGTGTGTAATGTAAATATTAACTCTCTGCAAATGAAAATATAATTTGCGTATTCTGGCCTTTTTTGTTGCATTCCTACTGAGACAAACACCAACTGCGAGAAAAGAATACATTATTTGCTTCGACTTCTGTGAATCGTATTCATGGGTTAGGCGCTGGGAGACACGGAAAGCCAGCAATATAGACCTCTTCCTTACGCTCCTCTTCAAGGACACAGCCAGAGAAGGTGCTTTGTGGCTTAAAGGTCTCTATGCGCCCTCTTGGGAGCCGTGTATGGCCGCTCTGCTGGAATTACATCAATGTCAGGCTCCAACATGACCTCCATTCAGAGTAAGTCTTTAGAGCTTGAGGCCAAGAAGCTGAAGGGGCCCTCCTGTCCTTGTGCCCATTCCCCATCAACATTTTTAAAAGCGCTGAATCCCTGACCTCAAAATAATCCCCTCCACACTCCCATCCACATATTTACTGTTTTTAACCAGAAGCACATGATCCGTTGACCGCTGGAAATTCTAACGGTTTCCAAAGACTTTTGATTCGGTTTTCTGGATCTAATCTATGCTTTTTATTTTTCCCAGTTTCCCAGTCTTGGGATGGCCAGAACCAATCGCCTTGACCGGAACTGCCCGTTCAGGAAACATCCACGTTGGCAATAATAACTGTGTGCCCATGTGTTAATTGTATGTCACTAACAAACTAAAACTATATCAGGTCTCCTACAGGGATTGCAAAATAAGCTTTGCAGGACTGCTTGCAAAAAAAAAAAAAAAGTCTAAAAACATCCCTATCTGTATGTGACAATTACGGCGTATAACACTTCGAAGTGAAGAGGAAACTGTAGTGCCTTAAATAACATGAATTAGATGCACCACAGATTGGCGGCTGATATTTATCCGAAAGCCGAGCTTTCCTTGGAAGAGTGCAAGGTCAGCTGATGTTTAATCAACCAAAGGCGCACAAGCAGTCACCAATAAAATGGTATCCTGAGCTAATCAATTAATAGCAAATATCTACACCTTATGTGACAGGAAAACGGCCGACCAATTAAGATATAATAATCTACTGCAACCAATAAAGACAGCCATAATAGAGACTGGTTTACAATTCTCAAGTTAGCTCCCACATCAGAAGCATTTAGGTGCACTACAACCTGAAAGGTGTGCGACAAAAGCAGTATTTATAAGCGCTGGCAGAGCTGCTAAACCCGGCGGGCTCCCTGATCCCCTGACACGGTGAAGCCCCAGCACTGCCGAAAGGAAATATTATGCTGCAGGTTCTCGGGTTGAGCAAAAATGTAACACTTTCTCCAGAATACTATTTACAGCTAATTAACATGCAAAATATTCAGCAAATACTTGATTCTTTTCCATTCAGTTTGAGAGGTTTTTCCATTTCCCATGATTTGCATGCATCAGATCTCCTAAACACGGCGAGCAGCTGCCGTCACGTCGGGCTCAGGCCGCTCCGACCCAAAGAGCTGCGGTGCCAGGTCAGGTGTCGGCAGTGTTTCACACTCTGGGCGAGGGCAGCGCCTGCGGAGCCGGGAATGCAATAAGGGATGAGGGGGGGTTCAGGCAGCGGCGAGTGGAGACAGCCTCGTCCGTGGCTTAGGCACCTCGGGCTGATCGCCATTAGAATACATGATGCAGAGCTAGTCATTTGGAAAGGCTCCAGACCTTGCTCTTCAAAACCCTTTTAGATAATTCGCTACACTGTCACCCTCCGCCCGAAAAACCCGCCCCAACTGGTGCCCGACCTCCAGGGTATGAGCAGGTCCCAGCTGAGGAGCAAGGGCAGCTGCCAAACGCGGCCACTTCAATCCCGGCCATCCGGATGATCGCGTCTGTCAAGCCGCCACTCCGCGTCACGCCACACGGCTTGATCACCACAATTAGGGCGATCGGGGATGCCACGTCGTCCGGGGGGAAGGGAGCCTCCGTGCGGCGCTCAGAGAGCAGGTGTAGGGGGCTCATGGCGTCCCGTTTCCATCACCGCCAGCTCCCGCATGAGACTCGTTAGACAGATTTACAGCGGCTCGCCTCTGAGCAGTCAGAAACTGTTACGATGTTCCTAAAACGTGAGACATATGCTGCTTCTTCAAAATATTTATCTCACTCAGATATAACTTGATGCTAGAATCGCGACCTTCACAAAAGGGCTGGAAATAGAATCTTTACAATGAATGTGTTTCACAGAAGAATACGGTGGTGGAACGTGTGGATTATACCAGAATGCTGAACAGTATTACGAACATGTGGGAAGTAGCTGAGGGCTGTGGCTTGACCTGAATTAAGAGACGATACCAAAGCAATTAGTCTGAACAGGAAATATTTTATGGATGCTCTATAAGAACGGGGTCACTGGTTCTGTGTTTTTTCATTTTACAGCCCCAAAGGAAGAGAACTGGGACCGTTTAAAAGATATTCTTCATTCTACCATTCTTAAACCTGTAAATATTCTAAAACTGAACTGCCAATATCCATAATAATGTATTAATTAATACGTGCTGAGATGCACTAAATATTTTTTATATATATGTTTAAGACAATTCCACTGGAGCAAAAGGTGTCACATCAAAAAAGTAAAAATAAATAAAATCAACACATGTGACCTCAACACAAAAACAGCCCACTAAAGAACTTCTTAGCTAATCAGATAAATAAAAAAATCTATGGCCATATTTAGTAGGACAAAGACTCAAGTCTAAACTGTATTTTTCACAATCATTTTCTAACTACTACAAAATACCTCGAACACATAGAATGTCAATAGACAAAGTTGAGCGAATGGCTCCCTCTTGTGGCAAACACACGATACACTTAATATTTAATAATTGTCACCCTCCTCAAAATATTAAATACAGTTAAGCTTTTTTTCATTTACAACAGCAGTAAAACAACAGACACGTGAAATTAAATTTATTGATATAAATTTAAAAAGTTATTTTAGATGTCCTTTATTCCAACAGGCCTACCTTCAAATTAATCTGGGAATTGATTTGGATTAAATAAATTTTGATGAAAATATGGAACATACAATTTTTCTATATTCACTTAATATCTTAAAATCCCTAACATAAATTTACATTTATATACAGGAGGGCAATAAAACACATTTATCCTGTAATCCTGAACGCTATGTGTTGCCAAAGGCTTGGATTACCAGTGTGTTAGACTTGAGAGCAAGGTAACGCCACAAACAGATACATACGGAGCCTGCCAACGCCAACACCCACTCAGCGTTACGCTCCGTGCAGAAGCTGGGTGTTAAGTGCCTCTGGTCAGGAAACGCATTTCGTGCTCGCACGAGGTGGCAGACCCGTGACACCGACTTGGGAGCGATCCTGCGGTGCGCCTTTCCGCTTCAGACTGCTGGAGGACCACCCCCTGCGAGCAGAGGGGGGCGGCCCCCTCCCCAACAGAAAGTCCTCCCATTCCGGGATCTTCTCCTCTACGGATTCCCAGTAACGCGTCTGTAACAGAGCACTTCTTAATGCACCATGGACAAATTTCTCAGGAAAAGAAGTGTATTTAAAAGCCAGCAGCAAGTGCAAAAGTCACACAGTTCAAAATTCGGAGGCTTGACTGTAGAGAAGCAGGTGCAACGCAAAGCGCTTTACCTGCAAGCTTTAGGGAACGACGGAGAGGACGAGTGTAAGGAAAAGCGCTGTAACTGCAGGCTTTAAGGAACGACGGAGAGGACGAGTGCAACGCAAAGCGCTTTACCTGCAAGCTTTAGGGAACGACGGAGAGGACGAGTGCAACGCAAAGCGCTTTACCTGCAGGCTTTAGGGAACGACGGAGAGGACGAGTGCAACGCAAGGCGCTTTACCTGCAGGCTAATCATCTCTGGCTGAAGAAGTGGTCTGGCACTCAGACGCTCCTCCATTTTTTGCAAATCCTAAAAATAAGTCAAGGGATTTAATTAAAATCTAACAAAGACTACAGATGAGATGCTCAGACAGCAGTGTCTCCAGCTAGAATCTGATAGCTGGGAATAGAAAGTGAGTAGAAGTGAGCTTTAGGTGGCCCCCTGTGAACGTGAGAGGCCAGAGATCCGTGTTTCTCTTTAGCTCCCCTGAGTGTCACCTTGCAGCGATCTCCAGCCGCACCCCTAGGCCTGAGCGGCACAGCCCCCCCTCATCCGCATCATGTGACCCCACATCATGTGACCCCGCACCTGGCTCTATGGCGCCGTTGCAGCATACCTGCAGGAGTGTGGCGTTTCTTTCCTGAGCGGTTTGCCACAAAATCACACGCTGCTCTCTGTTTTCTCTCTGCTGCTTGCAGCCGCTTTCCATCTGTCCCAGTAAGTCAGTGCGCTTCGCTAAACTGAAACAAAGGAGTCTTCGCGTCATTTTGTGCAGTAACGAAGCGAGGGAAGCTTCTCAATGCGTCCCTTGCTTGTCTTTCATGCTATGACAGTATTTTGGTTATGGGCCACTGATGGACACTTTGCTACCCTCCATTTTAAGGATATACAACAAAAAACACAAGCGCCATTTGAAGACGTCAGGATGAAACTGCTGCTGACTGGAAACTCAAGATTCCAAGGTTCAAGATTCTTTAATTGTCACATGCATAGTTATACAGGTACAACATGCAGTGAAATGTATCCTGAACCACTCTATAGACTGTGCAACTAGTTACAAAGGATATGAAAAAAAATTAAAAGGAGAAATCCATTTTTTTTTTAAATAGAACTTTGAATATAATACAGATCTGAAACAGATTTACAGATGTGCGATATGCAGTTATAAGTTATAAAGTTAAAGTGCACTGTATGGAATGATGACGATTACGCAAAAGTAATGAAGACAGTACATACAAGGAGAAGGTTATTTTAATAGAAATCTACACATTTATGATGATACAATATGAATACGATACACAATATGCCATAATAAAGAATAAAAAGTAGTGACTAATAATTATGATGACATGTATACACACACAAACACATTCATACACATATACACATTTATATTACATATAAACAAGAATATTAACAATAACAACAATAATGTATTATTACTACATAATTTGACTAGTAATTATTTACAAATGATTTACTTAAAAGTAATGAGGGTAGTTTTAAAATAAACCTTGGGTCAATGCAGAAATCGGGGCTGGTTTAGTATTACTGCATGCTGGTTTTCTTCAGTCTCAGCACTTAATTGCGTTATTTGAATACAGTAATTAGAGCTATTTGAAAGGTAAGCCATTTCTAGTGTTTTCAGGTATCAGTCGGACGCCAATTAAAACGCTTTCCTGAAACCGGCAGCGCTGCACCAGAGGAAGATCAGGCCTGTGCATTCACAAGCCAGAGAATTCTTTGGAACACTAGGGGGCACCATTGCGACAAATTTGTACCGCCCCGGGCTGAGGGGCTCACATCTAAGCGTGTCTAAGGATTGTCACTCACCCAAAAACTGCACACAAAGGACGCCTGGTTTAGGGATCACGCAACATGTTACTGTTTTGGTTGCATCATGGAATTGATAATCGCTCCCTCAGAGGAAGCTTTCAGTGTCGGTTAAGAAAGCGACAGCAAAGCAGACATCTTTTTAAAACGGATATAAAAAGCGTCGGTGAAGCTGCGGTATTTTTGCAGACCGCTGCTGTATACTGTGAAGTCTGTCGAAAACTTGTGCCAACTAAAACTAGAAATATTACGAACTTATTTTAGCACTTGAAGCACTGCCATCCAGTGGAAACACAATTTACTTAGGCTTTATATTTTAAATCATTCCAACTTGCAGCTCATTCAACTTGTCCCCTTTTTTCATGTTCGGAATCTGTTTAGAGGGAATTCTAAGAGCAAAAAAATGGTCTTGGAGTAAAGAACTAATTAATTGAACTACATCATGATAATTATCGATATTGACTCATATGAAAAAAATATCCTAATAAAATATTTTTCTTCCATATTACCCAGCCCTACATATAGGTTACGTTGTTAAATATCCTGTCCGTTGTAAAAAAAAAAATGTCATAATAACACAGAAAGCATGACGTGAGCTCTGTGTGGCATCACGCTGGATTAAACAGTGTGTGCTGTTGCAGGACCTTGAACCCGCAACTGCAAAATGCACTACTGCCAAAATGTACAGGCCTGACTTATCATCCGAATGAATTCCCCAAAATAACAATTATAAAAACTAATGCTTCACCAGTGACAAGTGGTGCAGAAATATTAATTGGCATGAACACTCAGGAAGCTCATTTAAAACAACGCTTTTAGCTCAGTTTACTTTTAATGTAAAGCAGTAAAACTTTTCCATGTACGTGTACATTAGGGGCCATTTCAATGCTGCCATCGCTAAATCCACCAGGGTTTGAACATTTATCTTCGTACCATGCGCAGCCCATGGATTTACATTAATCATGACGGTGCCGCGCTGAATTAATAAGAAACAGCGAAAGTTACTCACATTTCTTCATGTTTCTTGGTTAATTTAATTTCTTCTGATAAACGAGCTGCCATCTCAGAAGACAAGCAGGCTTTTCTCACTTAGAAAAATAATGTGAACTTACGTAAGCAAAAAGAAACTGTTTAACTTTAATGAAAGGCGGCGATCTGGCGGTTCGGAATTTGTTCAATAAAACGCACAACAATCTTAAAACATCACATTGTTATTTTTTATGTTTCCATATAAGGAAAGTGTGCGCGCACGCAGCCTAAAGCAGCTTTATTAGTGGCCGATCGCGGTACACGGCGATTCGATCATATGCGAATCCGCAGCACGACGAACGCGCACTGCTTGTGCAAAGTAGCACAAATCAGTAACTGAGCGGTTAGCTGGCTGTATGTAACGCTGGCTCAGAAAAGCCCACCTTCTCTACAGCTTGCATAAACCAACTGGCTACACGGCAACTTAGCAAACAGCAAATTTCTCAGCTACTTAACAGACGACTTCTGAGTTTGATACACCGACACCACTTAAGTCCAAGTCCCATTTGCATCCGCATTCTTCGTATCCATAGACACGGGCGGAGAGACAGGAATCAACCAATGAAATGCTGACATTCTATCCTGCAACAGCCGCCATGTTTGTGAGGTCAACTGTATTGCAACTAACCCTCAGCTTCCACATGCGTTTCAGTTTACATTGACATATATGTGATGTGGCGGCACGGTGCAACTGTTGCCTCACACGAGTCTCAACCATGGCTCCATGTGTGTAGAGCTTGCATGTTCTCCCTGTGTCGTCGTGGGTTTCCCTCTGGGTAGGACTACTCCCCGCCCAACAGTCCAAAAGCATGCTGAGGTTAATTGGAGTTACCAAATTGTCCGTATGTGTGCATGTGTGTGTGTATAATGTGTGAGTGTAGCCTGCATAGGGGTGGCCCCATCCTGGGTTGTTCCCTACCTTGCGCCCGTAGCCTCTGGGATTGGCTCTGGACCCCCGCGACCCTGAATAGGATAAGCGGTTACAGAAAATGGATGGATGGATGGATATACTTATTTGAGCGACACTTTTGTCAAGTCGATGAACAAGTCAGGCAAATACACTGCAAACATCTGGCTGTCAAGGGGTCACTGAGGCGTAAGTGGGCAAGGCTGAGCTTCCAGTGAGACCAGACAGCACATTCCGAACAAAGCAAGAACTTAATGAGACTAATCAGATCAGCATACTTCAATTTAGGGTTTTTGTCCAAAGCGATGTACAAGTGAATAGCAGCGAGTATGGTCAGTTTCTGTCCCCGAAAACCATATGCCTTGCATTTTTGAGTGCACATTTTATCAATTTGTCAATTTTCCCACTTTATTAACATAAAGGTAAGAACAGTGTAAGTGTGCATAAACTTAAAACACACATCATTCTTGTATTTTATTAATTTTAACTGTACTAAATTATAAAACATAACCAACCTAACCTATTCAGATTCTGAATATTTTTATTATCCCAGAGGCGACAGTTTAATTTGCTTCCTATTATACTTATCACTTTATGATTCTTTTCCTTCCAGTTAAATCCAATTGGGGTAATATTCACTGTCAGTATAAGACATAAATCATGTGTATGATGACACTATTTAAATATGTATTTGCCTACATATATGGATGTAGCGAGTGAGAATTAATTTGTACTAGACGTAAAATGAATACGGCGAAAACCTTTAAGTGGATCAGAATCCTAGCTTGAAAAATTGAATCTGACTCCTTTTTGTCCCCCAACAATGACGATCATATTTTATCATCCTTAATTCTGCACTTCAGTCATATCTCCAGCAGTGGGCACTCTTGTATACAATATCTCATTTTGTTTGGAAGGAAACCGTCAAGTTGTCATTCCAGTCACTGGTGTTTCTCCATTACTCTTTACACAAAATGTAATAATAGTCCAATGAATATTTTTATTATCATTATAAAGCACACAAAATATTATTATGCATGATATTTTCAGCGAGTGCTTGGGGTAAAATGATGTTTGCTAAATGACCATATGGAGGAATTAAGAAGTGTTAATTAAAACTCTCAAAAACAGACACATTTTAGGTAAAGGAGAAATATTTAGCTGTTCATTGCAATTTATTGTTTATTTACTTCATTTACAGCAAAGGAGAGATGAGATGGTGCTCTTTGACCCCGGGAGGGGAAAAAAAATCAGCATCCAATGTAACATAAATAATATTAATTTGTTTTTTAAAAATAGAAATAACATAGCTTGTTTTTTAATTTCCTATCCCTTGTACCCCATCTATGACGACAGTTTCTAGTGTTAATATTACACAATGCATGCTTTGTCCTGCATTATCTTTGTGGGGGTGAGGGTCACCTGTCCAGCACAGGATGCGGAGCACAGTTCACCCTGGATGGCATTTGGTGTCATTTAACTGTTTAGTGTACCTCTAGCTTGGGTAGCAGGATTAAAAATTAGATGGTGCAATTTATAAAACAGAATAATCTATCACATTTATACATGAAAATTTATTTGTTTATTTAAGGTGATATTATATCTGTCTTTAGAAGGTCTAACCAAATGTGCAGTGTAATGTAACCTCAAGCTTTCCAGTGGAGACCTCATGTAGTTAAGCCATTTGTGTTTGAACCCATGCATTTCACAAAGGGACATGCTAAGCCCTGGAAAACTAAAAATGCTATTTTGGCCTATTTTTTTGAATGAGTTTTTCATTAGTAAGTAACAGCAAGGAAAACATGGTGCTTTGAAAACATGGTGCTTTGAAAACAGAGTTGCGGAATATAATAATTCTTTGTGGGGCAGTATGTTTAACAGATTGACTGTGTAACGGTGCTCATTAATAGTAGTTAAAACAAGACTAAAAAACAGTAGTTAAAAAGGTAGATTAAACAGGTGGCAGTGTGGATGTTCAGCTCCCTCTTTGCTCATCTCCACGTCTGCTTGCACCAGCGTAAAGAATGACATTTGGGAGTAAAGGCTGCTCAGGGGGACATCAACCTTGATGAAACTGGGCCACATTGAGCGTCATTAGGAAAGCGCTTCAGAAAAGAGTAATCATTCTTTCTAATGACAGGAGAGAGTAACGCTTTTGCATCTGTGGAGGTTTTCAGTTGTTGCATAAATATGGCAGAAAACAAATTCTTCCTTTAGAGAACATTTGTCTTCCCTAGTCAACCGAGCAAAACTGAAAACGTAATTAGATTTTTCACTGGGATTTATGGACCACACGAAAATTTCCATAAAGTACATCAAAACCCATATTTTATTTTATGTATAGCAATACAATTTACATATTAAATAACACTATAATAGAATGATTTTATATAGCTTTCAACAAAACATTTTTTTCTGGTTACAAAAGAAGAGAAACACCCACCTTTTCCAAATGGGCCAATGAGACAAACTTATTCAGTGACTCACTAGATCTATTCTATTGCACACACTGACAACGTAATAATAATAATAATAATAATAATAATAATAATAACTGAAAAAGAAAATGAAATAAAAAGTACCACAATCACTGCCAGAAAGGGAGATGTATAGGCATGGATGTTTATGGATTTTTTTGGTATGTGATGACAATCACTACCTCAATGCACAGAGAGAGACTTTTCCCCACATATTCACCACAGAACAATGACGGAGCAGAAACTAGGGAAAAAATAGCTTCATACGAAAATATAAAATTCTATGATTATATACCATAGATACAAAGTTTCCAGAAGATGGTTATTGGAACAACAAAATATGTACATTTTTAATTTTATGAGACACTAGAGTTTGTTTCATAGCGTATGTAACAAAAAGGAATGTTCGGGATGGTAAGCAAAAAATTACAATAATAAAAAAAAAATCCAAACCGGTGGCTTGTAACTCAGTAGTGCTTAGGGTGACGAATGATCGAAAGTCGCGTCTATCCCCAAATGTTGGAGCTGCGACTTCATTAAACAGCCTCCTTGTAAGGAGATAAAAAGGAGACGAAAATAAGGAAATAACATTTCACTGGGTAATACTGAATAACTCAATTTTCAGCCACATCCGTATGCAGAAAAACAAATAATATAAAGAGAACAGTACGTGATTAAAGATCAGCCACAGCGTGACACTGATGAAGGGCGGACTTGACATTCCACCTCAAAACATCACATTTTTTTTATCTATTTCCAGTTAAATTAAGAAAAGCACCCGCGGCTCTGAAAAAACACCTTTAAAAGAGTAAACTATTCCCACATATTTCTGTGGCAAATTAATTGAGTTAAATAAAAATTCGCAACGAAATACAATTTAATTAGTAGATAGTCTGTATAAGTATGCCGATAATGTCACACCTCTGCCAGTAATGAATGTCAAGCACACATGTAATCGTTTAATTTTAATCACAACCTCGACTAAACAGAAATATAAAAAATGACCAAACAAAGCTTTGTTTTCCTTTCTGAAATGCATTTATATCTTTGGTAGAGTTGATGCATTATATTTTCCCCAGGTTATATGTCGCTATGCTTAAAAAAAATAAAAAAATATATATAACGCCAAGGCAGTTGTGCTGTGTGACAAAAGGATAACAGCCTTTTCTTTCCCATTTAGGTTGAAGCCGCAGAGTCCCACTGTGCCTGGAATGAGTACAGTCTGCCGCTTGATGCGTGGCGGCCTTCGGACACAGGGAAGGGAGCCGCACGTTTTGCGACTCCACCTTGAATGTGCTGGGAGTACTTCGCCTCTGAAACAGCAGGAGAGGAATGATGGGTAGGTCACCTTGGGCCTCGGGCCGGTGTATATACCACTCGAGAGATGAGGTCGGTGTCTGCTCTTCTTTTTTCTCCACCTTGTTTTCCATTTAAACCATAGTAGGGGGCACATTTTACATGACATACGGTACAATCATAGGTGGGCGGGGACACAGAGGTCAAAACGTTGAGAAATGACGCGCAATTTAAACGTTCTCGGCAACACTGAATGCACTTGGGTTGAGATAACTAAGGAAGCAAACAATTCAATGAAATTATGTATATTAATTACACAAAACTGTGGTCTCTGATTATATCCATACGAGCTATTTCACTCATCCGGTTTTCAGTAAGCACCGATTTATAAGTAAACCAAAATGTTTATTTCTTTTTAATATGTTAACACTGAATGCTACCTTCATGGTAGAAAGACACGTAAAAGGAGCGACAGAGAGACAGGTGAGCCTAGAGGCAGCTAGAGGGTAAGGGGGGAGCAGCAAACTGTCTTCACTGTGTCAAATCCTTTAAGCGAGAACCAAGGAGAATCTGTTCCAAGGTTCGCCGACAAAAGAAGTCTACAAAACCACACGTTAAGAGGATTAAGGATATATTTTAAAAAGAAGCCTGCAAAAAGAAGTACATTTCACAGTAGTGGTTTAAATGCCACATGTAAAATGAAAATATGGGTTTGACTTATTAATAAAAAATATGAAATCAAATTCGGATGCCAAATAATGACCCTATTGCTTACTGTTATATGATTTTCCATTGTGATTTCTGAAGCACATTAAGCCAGTGATGGGAGACATTAAGCTCTGAAATCCAAGGTGGGCCAGATCAGCGCGACCAGTCGCCGAGCAGCTTAACCCGCTTCCCTTCGCATGCTGTATAGGGTTATGCCAGGCCAAACGTTAGTCCAAGACAGGTCGTTACTGAACAGGGCATGGTAGTCCCTCCCGCCGTGGTTTTCAAAGCTATGTTTCTCCTGGAAACCATTACACCACTTTTCTGTACAATTGATCTTGTACGGCCGCGAACAGCTACTCGGTAACACGGCGCATAGGGAGTGGCCGCGTCATCATCCTCATTTTGCGCGTTCAGCGGCAGGGAGCGCGTGATCGAAGCTTCTCGTCTCCAATTGGCCGAAAACAAACAAGCGGGGCGTGGCCACCAACCGGGAAAGCGTGGATTTGTGACCGATAATGTCAACTGGGTTGTAGGCAGTAACACTGACATTATAGTGCAAACTAGAGAAAACTGTGTTTCGTCGTGTGAACTTAAAGACAGGTGCAAACGCTCAGTAGGATAACATTAAGACATAAAATGGCAAAAATAAATATCAAAAACTTTTTATCAGTGTAAAAAAGTAATCAGGTTCTTTTTCCATTTAACCAAGATTCTGGCAAAAAAGGCCTCAAAAAAGTCTGTCTAGTCCTTGAAGTTTTACAAATTAAGTGCCTCTTCGTGCCAAAGTCCTCTTCAAACAAGTGACTCCATGCTTTCTGCAGGGTCCGATTCGTCTGTAATCACAATAGTGCCATTTCTGTCCATGGACATGGGGCTCATTCCGTTCTCCTTGGCGCTGACCAGGCTGAGCATAGCTTTATAAAGGTACTGGTACTGTTCCTGGAAACACAACAGAGGCAGGGGAAAACAAATATTAACGATACCAGATATTCACCAAAAATCACTTTTCAAAACTTGCCTGAAGCTATGAACAGTTCATTAGTATGTAAAACATTGTTTTATACAGATACAAGCACATACTACTCAGTCTTATTTCTCTTTAAAAATACCCATGTATCTTATGTCAGCTGAGACGATAACAAAATGAAACATATGGTCCTTCTAAAGGGAGAGAATAACTCTTGGTGCCACTGAAACTGTGAAAGAATCCAGAGCCTCAAATTCTTTGTGTGCTCATTAAAAATTCACATACTTTAAGAAAAAAAAAAGATTTATTACAGCTTTGTAATAAACCTGTCAGATTTCTTTTCAGAAAGATGTGAGCAGAGTGACTTCATGTCAGTTGTGGTATAACATTTTTCTGGTGATATTTTAACAGCAGGTGGCAGCAGTGAAGCACGTGCACTTCTAACTGGAAGTTTACTGGTCCCAATCCTGGGGCCCAGCTCTTGTACCACTGAATGTGAAATTTCTCCAGTAACACATCAAAAGGTGTAAGTCATCAAAGAGCCAAAAACAGCCATGGTAAACACACTTTAACATGTAACCGGGCGGTAGATGTTTCCACTGAATGCCAAACTACTTCCATTTTTAAATCATTCTAGGTGAGACAGTGAAGCATCTAAGTGCACTATACTCACAATGTCAGTGAACACTCCAGGCCTCATGAGGTTGATCATCTTGGCCACCTGGTACACCCCCACTGCATTCTCGCTCTCCAGCTGCTGGGACAAGGTGACGAGGGCGCAGAGCATGCCCGCCGAGACAGCTCCAAACCTGGGCAAGCGATGGAGGCAAATCGGGTCAGAAGGACACAGCGGGATGTCCCAGGTGGACGTGGGTCAACAGAAAAGCACCTGTATCTGGTTTATGGAAAAGCAGGGTAGCATGTTTTTACATTTTCATTTTAAAACATTTGAAAAATTGTGAGACTTTCTGACTGATAAACATACAGTAACTGATGTCTTTCGTTCAAGTGATCTTAGTGACAGTAATGAGTAACTATGACTAAACTATTACTGTGTAAGAAGATTGTTCCAGTGTGTATCTGTAGATTCTTTTATGCATTCATTAACTGAGCAGCTTTCCAGAACCTTCTCGAATCCCTGCCTTAAATTCAGGCTGGTCTGTAGATAAAAGGCAGGTGTACTTAATAAAGTGGCCACTAAGTGTACAGGGAAATATGACACAGCATCCAGCTGAAATCCATTTCTGAGCCTGCAGTGACTCATTTTTGTAAGATTTACTCAGGCATCAATGTTTATTAAAGGTGGAAAAGGCAAACCTTAGAGCTTACAGTATAATAAGATGCTGTTTTATGATTTTAGGACCTCAGTGACACCTTTAACAGAATAGCCAGTGAAGGATGACTGCAGGAGTGATGGTGAAATACTCCATGATGAGAATGGAGTTTATTGGTGCAATCAATTGGGAAATGGCAAGACCAATTTTTCTCAACCACCAGAGTAAGATGCTTAGTTGGACTGTTGACAAGAAATTCATTTATAAACACGACTAACTGCGTCCTGGGGCATATCCTATACACATCTGCTTGCTGGACGTTTATTTAACAAAGAGACCCTTTCAGCTACATCTGCAGCCGTAGTTTTGAGCCAGCTGCCGACACAACTGGTTACATTTCACAGAAATGTGGTTATTAGTTTAATGCGGGTGATTAATTTACAAGAAATCATTGCCGTCACCCACTTAATATGGCACTTGCTAAACTCGCAGGACTACGGTGCAGCAAATGGGTATTGATTTTTCACAGCACCCGGTGTGCATACGACCTGCCACGTACTCGTCATGCACTATGGTTGGTCCATCTCGGGTCATGGCCTCCTCCTTGATGACGTTGATGAGCTCAAAGGTACTGCTGATTGGAGCATCAGGGTTTGGCCATTTTGGGCACTGGAAGTGGCGAACCTCCAAGACATAGTCATCCTGGGGGGTGGAAGCGAAAGCGCAAACATGCTGACGCACCGATGCCTCGGGAACACAGACATTCGTCTGACAGGAGTGACAATAAATCCATCATCTATCCCTGATGTACTGCTGAGAAAAGAGGCTGGAAAGTGGCAGATTTATTGATTTCATCTATGAAATATCTAAATAAATCCAAAGATGTCACTTCCCATCTTGCCCTGTAGGTGGCTGAGTAGCTTGCCATACCTGCGTAGCCTCCAAGATGAAGTCATGGATGATGATCTGCTCCTCATTGGAGAGGCACAGCCTGTCCTTGTTGATGAGCGTGACGGTGAAGGCCTCGCAATTCATGGCCTCTTCCCGACTAGGCCAGTACACAAACTCGTCCTCGGCCTGTGTGGACAGAACACCAGCCCCGTAAACTAAATGTGAGCCTCAGCCCCTGGGTTTTCCAGTTTACAATCTGAGAAATTCATTACACCCCCAACAAGACTATTAACTATGAAAACGGAACAACAGAATGACGCTAATGTACTTAGTTTGCTACATCTCCAGGGATGGTGTGAAATGTGTCCCCGGTTGCGGGGAAAAAGAAAATCCCAGAGCACTGGAAAAAAACCAGTGAAGGCATGCAGCTGGGAAGAAGCCCTGATATTGCTGCTGACACTTAAACAGCACTTCGCAATTTATTTCACACAACGTGTGATTTCTTTTTTGAGACTCAGGATACAAACTGGCTCTGTGTCGCATATAACCGCTTAATTGAAAAGAAAACATCGACTGAGGAGGTGATGAAAGTAATACCTACCAAGCTCTGGTTGTCTGGCAACATGACAATAATTTGTGCATTGTGGTCCCAAATCATCCTCCAGAAGTCCTTAGTGGTGTGAGGAAGGGGATGCTGGGTAATGATGAACTCATTGCTCCTGTAGTAACCCTGTTCCGTAATAATAAACAAAGTCAGACATTACTGTTTGATGTTTGCAGGGGAGGGGAGTTTTATCTCATCATAAATCCATCTGGACTCCCACATTTACCATTCGAAAAGCCAGACGCATGAAACAGTCTTTATTTTCCAATCAACAGAAAAGGATCATCACTGACAACTTCATATATTGCTGTTGACCTTTGCCAATATGAGCTGCTACTACATGGAGGATGGTTAATGTATGATACAATACAAATCAGACCAACCATTATGTAAGAGGCATTGATGTAGTCAGTGCCCTTCATTCCAGGAAGTGGTGCCAAGCCAACCCTGGCTCGTTCCGCTGGAAAGAAAACACAGACACACTCAATCGCATGCAACAGAAGTATTTACATTGGTTAATAAGCAACTGGGGTTGATGTACAGTATTCATTGTTGTTTACTTGGCAGCTCATATTATCCAGAGAAACTTCAAAAGCTATGAATTACACGAGCTGAAAAATAGATGGATAAAATCTTGGAAAGAGTGACTGAGTATCGAAATCAAAACGCACCATTATGACAGTTTAAGACATTTAAGCTGCTATATGACAGACAGAAAATTCTCAGCTGATGTCAGTGCCAGATATGACAGGAACGAGTGACGTCTCATGGCCACAATTCAACCAATACAAGCGAAACAAGCACAATGCAAAATGACACTAAATCATAATCCATCATGACACATAGACTCACATGGCACCACGGAAGAGTTGCGATTCTTCTCTTTGTTGCATTCCTTCTGGGCACTGAAGCATTCAACAAATCTGGTGTTGCACTGGGTCACCAACTGAGAAGGCAAAGGGGAAGAGAGAGTGTAATAGACTCACAGACTGTCCATGGGATCACCAGTTAAACTATGAAAGTAGCTGTACCCTCAGCCAGAGTCGTGCGGATATTTGAATTCCGATACGGCTGCATATCCATTAGGGCAGTGTTCCCAATCCAGTCCTTAGGGATCGGCAGACGGTCCATGATTTTGGACTGTCTGGCAGGGAGCTGGGAGGAAGCAAAAACATGGACCGTCTGTGGATCCCTGAGGACCGGGTTGGGAAACGCTGCATCAGGGACCGACATGTTTGAAGACAGATGGGAATATCTGATGTTTGTGTCCCAATAACACGCATGGCCTAACATCAGCTAATAACATCACATGAAGTGATAAACAAAACAAAAGAAAGCGATGCGAGGGACTCGACAGATGACAGCGACATGCTACAGAAGAGGAACTGGCACAGTGCTGACCAGCGCCACTTTCAGAATGCAGTGCAGACGGTTTGAAAGGGGAGAGTGAACAAAGCAGGCCGGGGGACACAGTGGCGGGGAACCATTAGAGACACGTCCGTCTGCTGCTCCGCGCTGGAGCACTTCGATGTGGCCTTGCTAAGCGAAACGAAGCTTTCTAAGTGAGCACACGGAGACAGGAGCAGAGGCCCAGAGCCGTTTGGGCCTCTCACTCAAACCATACGCGCTATGTGTGGACGCGGGGACAGGAGCGGAGAGACCCAGAGCCGTTTGGGCCTCTCACTCAAACCATACGCGCTATGTGTGGACGCGGGGACAGGAGCGGAGAGACCCAGAGCCGTTTGGGCCTCTCACTCAAACCATACGCGCTATGTGTGGACGCGGGGACAGGAGCGGAGAGACCCAGAGCCGTTTGGCTGTTTGGGCCTCTCACTCAAACCATACGCGCTGTTTGTATTTCCCAGTTCTTGGAGGATACATTTCAGGGACCACTGTGTTTAATGTGTAACGGTGCCCAAAAGTTTCTTCTAACATGTTTTCTTAGTAATCTGCTGGAAGTTGAAGCTCCATTGCAGATTATCTCCCACATGTTGTACAGTTTGGCTGTAAGGATGATGGAAATTTATATATCATATTACGTGCTAAGGGAGGACTTTTCAACCTCGCAGTTAGTCAGAGAGTTTTCATACTTCTAATTATAAAGATTAGACAGGTGAATTTTTTGCACGGGAGAATTCTGTTTAGCACACCCTGCCTCAATGAGCCAGGATGTAAGCTAATAATTATGCAAATCCTCGACATGTGTTTAATAAATCCGCACCTCTGTCCAAACCCAAAATTAGATCCAAGTGAGCCGTTTTTCCTGTCAGTTCATTAGATGCAGGGTGAATAACAACATAACTATTAAACACGAGACAGAGGCTACTGACAGATATTTTATTCAGTGCTGACAGAACTTTATTTAATGCAGGAATCCAAAGAATGTGATTTTCAAACAGCTTATACTAGAGCTAAACCCAAACTCCCACCATCATTTGTGGGAACTTTCCATATTTTTGAACATCTTTTCCATTTGTGGCCTTGTGTTTTTGAATCAGTCTGGATTTCCTGTTTACCTTATTGTTTGTTGAATCTAATTTGATATGGCTCAACTTAACAAGTCTCTTTAAACTGCTCAAGCCCCAGTGTTTTAAGACCATATGGGATTTAAATACAAATGGTAAATAAAAAAGAATAAAAGACAATGAAGGAGAGTGAACAAAAAATCCAGAGGAAACTCTTAACAGGCCAGGCTGGCTCTTCTGGGAAAGCTAACGTTGCAGAAGTGAGAGGCAGGCCGCCGGGACGGAGCCGGGGTACGATGGCGCTCTTTAGCTCTGTGGTCAGCAGGGGAGAATACTTTCCGGCTGGACCTCAGCAGAGGATCATTCCAGGTGCAGAGTCACCCAGGCATGGGGAGAGAGAGGCACACAGGGGTCAGTGTGACACTGATAAATGACAGATATACAGAGACTTAGGACAGCACTTACTCAGACATCAGCAGCATCATTTACAGTAAGCCAAGCTAAAAATAATCCGAGTGTAGGCAGAGCAAAATAACAGCTCTGCAATCTGGTCAGACGCCTGTTCATTAAAACAGGAGCCCTACCGCTGAAGGTTTTACAATCTTTTACAATTTTACATTTTTTTATTGGATTAATTGCAAATTAGTTCTTTGATATGACAGCTGTTTGGATGCATCAGATAAGCAAATGGATAATCATTCAATGCATTAAAAGTGCAAAGAAAGTAACTAACAAGTGCATCATGAACTTCGCAGAAAGTCAATGAAGTGACCTGACTGGATAGGTTGTCAAATTACCTAGGAAGGTATTTTATTGAAACTTAGTTACTGAATTATGACAAACTGTTGATGAGCGCATCATATTAAGAGCCACTCCAGCAAAGGCAGAGAAGCTATTTGTTGTTGTAATGGGTGAGTGGCGATCTGCGGTCTGAGCTTTTAGCCATATGTCTGCTGTCCAGCTGATAAGACAGCTGGCTGCTGCTGGTTCTGGGGCCAAACTGGCCACAGTGTGGCCCAGAGGACCTACTGCTCGCTTAGAAATAGCTGCACAATCACAAAGGATCACATCAGTCAGTCCCGCAGTCAGTTTGCATGTTTAACAGATTGGTAATGCATTCCTGCAGTACACATTCCCTCTCCTACAATTACAGGATAATGAATCATTTCAGCTGGTATGATTCACCCAATAGTAATATGCATTCTACAGAGGACACAATAAAAAATTACCTGCTTTGGATTGCTGACACTTGTCTGTCCAGGGTTGGTCCGTCCGTCTGATATAGAGCTCACTTCCGGGGGTGATGAGACTTTGATATTTGGGTAGCAGCCGTTTGTCCATGTTAACAGCTCTGCTGATGATCTTAGTGCCCTAACCCTAACCCTGAAGGTTGTGTTTGGATCACGTCCCCATTTATTTACATCTGTTAGCCTGTCTGTGCATGGCAGCCCTAGGGCACCAATGTCCAAAACGTGCAAGAGTCGATACTAAAACAACAAACACGGCACGACTTCCTTAATTCAAGACTTTCCCTTGATAAGATACAATTTCCCCATACCTGTAATGTAAATACATAATACAAGGGCATTACCTTGGTTTCGACCGTGTAGAATTTAATTTGCTAAATGTCCAGATTTTAAATGTATTATTGTCTGTTCCATTACACGTTTCCTGCTGACTGATGATTACACTTTTAATATTCTTGTTTCATTTAATATCCTGTAAAAAGTTATGGACCCCAAAAAGGCCTCTGAGGCACCCCTTGGTTACCATGGTTCATTGGAGGCTCTGTTACTTACAGATCTCCTTTGTTTCTATTCCACTTTCCAGTTGCTTTGTTTTATATCCATATGCATGAATTTCATCTTAGGATTAGTCATTTATATGGACACTTAAATTATACAATTGCATTTGAAATATAAAAGGATCATATGCTTGGCACATTCAAACTATATTTTCATTAGAAAACAAAATAAATGTTTACATATAAACTATATCATAGCGTATAGAAAGCATTAGCAATATATATTGTGAATAGTGTTTCAAATGCGTTGATTTCAGTTTAGTTAAACAACCACACCGTTTCCGTGAACATATACAGATAACAGCACTGTCAAGATACAGATCACATTAGCATTAGAATAATGAGGGTAATCCTAAATCTGTTCTTGCCGTTACCTTCGGCAACGACTTGGACCGTATGCTACAAAAGGAGGATACTGTTGCCATGACAACCAGCCCACAGGACTCTCCCTAATGGGCCAAAAAAGCATGGCAATCTTTTGGCTTTCTTTTAATTTTCATTCAATTCATGCTGCTATTTAAGGAGCCGTCTTAAGATCGTAAGGATACAAGGAGCCATCTTTCAAAGTGTCACCAATTAGGTCTTTGAAACAGATTTAAAACTGTCAGCCATGAAGGTGACAAGCAGCCAGTGCGGTGGGTGTGGGGGTTCTGACCTTAAACTGCTTCTCCAGACGTGTCCTGCCCCCCAGGCCTGGCGTGAGGATGCTGTTGACATAGCTGTGGAGCTGACTGGCAAGCACTTCGCTTTCTTTGCCAAGAATAGCTTCCATCAAGGCATCGTGGATGAAGATGTACTGCTCCTGTACATTGGGATGAGGTAGAGCAGCCATTCAGCCCAGTCCGCTTCCCGGTATGGGTCGTACCGCACATACGTGTCGCCTTTATTTCTGGCTACTGTCAGATCGCTACCAAAAATTCCATTCAGTCGCCTGATAAATCACCTAGCGCCTGAAATGGAAAGACTTCACGGCAGATTATACCCCACCGCAACCACCTTTTGGGACCCTCCAGACCGTGGAAACTGGTAACGACAACACAGTATGTCCAATAAACGCAGAAGAATCCCTTAGATTCTTCTACACCTTAGAAGGCCAGTACATGAAACCACTGTTCTCAAGCTACAAAATCCTTGTAGAGAGAAATGATACAGCGTGGAGAGCGGCCGCGATACGGCGCGGAGAGCGGCAGCGAACCATAAATTGAAGAAATTCAAGTACAAGAAATGAATACATTGTTTATCTATCCATCTATCTATCTATCTATCTATCTATCTATCTATCTATCTATCTATCTATCTATCTATCTAAGTAGACAGGTGAGGAACTTGGCTGGCCACAGGGAGCGCTCACACACACACCTCTGTCTGCACGAGATAGTTCCTCTGGGTCCGGATGTGTTTCAGGAAGCCCAAGATGTTGACCGTGCCTTTCTCCTTTATCTGCTGCAGCATGCTGTCGATGACGATGTATGTCCCCGTCCTGCCGACGCCGGCGCTAGGAGGGGCAAAGGCAAGAGAGCATCGTTGTCCGGCCCCCACCATCCTCAAATGCACGTGGAGCCCCGTTTAACACCCCCCCCGCCCCACCAGGAAAACGCAGCCAAAGACACAGCGACTCCTCAGCGCGAATCGGAGACTGACATTTCAGCATGCACCCAACGGATTGAGGGCAAGTGGAACAAAAGGGTGAGTGTAACGATTAACAGAGGAGGTGGCAAGGCCATCGGAGACTGAAGGGGAGGGGGCCAGCGACGTGACGGGCCAGACACCGGGAGATACGAGGGAAGCGGGGTGGCCGCGGTAAGTCAGGAGCACTTTAAGTTCAATACAGTAAATGATTGGCAGCAGTAGCTGACTCATTGTGAAGGATCATTATCTAAGTGCTAAGTGCAGATGACATCACACCCATCACTCTCAATGCAGAAAAAATTCATTAATCTTTTTTCCACTGGACAGCAGCAGTATTTTGGCCAATTCATGTAATCATACAATCATCTATAATATTAATATCCATCAGGAACCCAGGACAGCACATGGTAATGAGTAATTCTCTGATATGGACAGTGTAAACTTCCACAAGAACATACAAAGACTCCATTACTTATCTGAAGGGATATTAAACCTTCCAGAGCCAGATATCAGTTTTCTAAGCAAATGGGAGTCGTACGTATGGCGCTGTGAGCGTGCCTTTATGCTAAGGCAATAAAACACGAGGCCACAGCAAGAACAGCACCCCCTACAGGACATGTGGTTTCAGGCGCTACCTGCAGTGCACTATCACTGGTCCCGTGTCTGGTGTCTGGGCGGCGGAGGACCTCCGCACGAAGGTCAGGACTGGCAGGGTGTACTCTGGCACGCCCATGTCAGGCCACTGCGTGTAGTGGTACTGGATCACAGTCCGCTCGTTCTGCCGGGTCTTCGGGTTCCCCTTCTGACCCTACAGCAGGGCAACAAACGTTTTCAAGTTGAGTTTGAATCCAGGCACCAGATGGCAGGGATGATTCTACGGTTATCTGAGGTGGAGGGCACAGGAGGGGCCGCAATTCATGCAGAAGGATCAAGCTTAACATTAGCCAATGGTATGGTGGTCTGAACTGGTAAGTGACAGGGGCAGAAGCAATCAAGGAGCCAATCAGCTTTCAGCTGGCGCCAGTGCCCCCCCACGTACACCCCTGCCAGCTGGTCAGCTATCAGTAAGTTATCTGTAGCTGGGGATTACCAAGTGAAAGACTGACCAGTAGGACCAGTCAAGGTGAGAGTCTGATTCTTAGAACCACCGACCCGAAACTGACCTTTTTCACTTTTGTGTTGCGCACTGTAAAGCGCCGGACCGTGTAGCATGCGTACACCTCGGCGCTCTTCAGCGTCACCACGATGTTCCCATACTCCTCACTGTTCTCCGTCGGCCAGTACTGGTCACACTTCCTCTGTGGACAAGAGCCGAAAGAACCAGCACTGGTGAGCCCATGGGAACCAGCAGAACCAGCACTGGTGAGCCCATGGTCACTCAGATCTCACCACGATTCAACAGGAGTGATTCTAAGATAATCAATGGTCTGTCATAAGATGGACCATGATTCATACATTGCCATTAGTCAATGATATGTTTTGATTCGGTGAGTGACAGGGGATGGGGTACTCGGGGGGCCAATCAGCTGTCAGCTGGGGTCTGTGCCCTGTGGCCCTGCCCCTGTATACGCCCCTGCATTTTGATAAGTAAATATGACCTCAGCTCATGTTTAAAGCTAATGCTGTTGGACGAGAAGGACAATCCTTAACCCAAGAGACAATCAGGTCTGACATGAGGAATTAAGAGATGAAAAAGGACAGTTTAGCATTCATAGCGGCATACATACTCTTCCTTTCTCTACAAGGTTTGTGATCATAACGATAATCCCTGTGTTCTGCTCCCAGACCATCCTCCAGAAGTCTTCAAAGGTGGACTTCAGAGGTCCCTGTGCAGCAATGTAGGCCTTGGGCTTGTTATATCCCTGCAGGACATGCAGCCAGACAGCCCGTCATGAAGCAGCAGGCGCACGCACACGTACACGCAGACATCAGAAACAGCTGTTTCTTTGTGCACAACTCAAAGGAGAGGAAAGAACAAGACCCACATCCACAAAGTTGGCATTGATGTAGTCGCTGTGTTTGGCGTCCTTGCCAGCCAACGGGCGTAACTTCACCCTGCTGTGATCATCTAGGGGAGAGGGAAGGAGAGCAGTGGGGTTTTAATCATTCTAATTTTTCCATGACAACAGTCTTTTATGGAAATGCTCCTCTGACGAGAGCCCCTGAAAGCGAAGCCCGCCGGCTCGCCGGACCGCTACTCCACTCACACGCTACGATGTTGATGTATCTGTTCTTATGCTTGTTGTCGGGGTGATTGGAATGCTCCCACGTGATCTTCATGTCGGCCGTGCATCTCTGCACCTCCTGCAGGGATGAGGGGGAGAGCTTCAGCTCAGCACGCAATGGCCACGTGTGATGGCCCTGTCCCATGTCTCAGATGCATTGTAATGGGCACTGAAACTGAAGGCATATTTTTATATATCTCTTAAATGTTATTAAAGGCAATGCTGGCATCACCCACAACGCAGGGCTCATCTTACTATTCCGAAAGCCACCTCAGCCGGCGCACGCCAGCAGGAGCAGCACACAATGCTGATGAATTAGCCATGAACCCATGGAGGTGGGCCCAGCTACTCTCATCTGTTCACCATCCGCCCCAGAGCCTGGCCTCTTCCTCCTGGGCCCCCTCTAGTGTGCCGGGGGGTGGCAGGGTCTCTCCTGGAGAGCCCAGAGACACCCCACGGTCCACATTCAGCATGCGTTTAAGCGGCTAAATTAGCATCTATTTAAATCCCTGCATGAAACAGTCTCAGGACCCAGATCTACATCTATGGCCACTTAAAGAAAGCAGCAATCTGAGAAAAATAATCCAACAAAGAACGAAAACACGCATCCATGTTTAATGGGAGCTTTATCGCTGTATACCGACTAATGGCATCCAGTGCCTCAGAGTCTTTATTTACTCAGGGCGATAATTATTTGTTTCAGCAGCTGACGAACGAGCAGCGGCGCTTTTTAATTGATGCTCTTTCCTGCTGCACCCGATCACACTGGCGTGCAGTGAGCGCGGCAAACGGGAGTGGGGGGCTTTGAAGCCGCTTCTAAAACCACCTGTCGACGGATCCAGCAGATGGCGGGGGCTTTATATATCTCCTGCTGCAGCTGGACTTTGGCTCTGGTTACATGTATGGGGGGTCCAGAGCTCCGGGGCAATGCCCACAAAGGCTGGGTGCAGGACAGACGCACAAGCCGCACGTCTGTCCTCGGGGAGCCGGTGTGCACGACGGGAAAGCAGCGGCTGCTGTGGCAAACACGCTTTTCCCCCTTTTTTTAATTAGACAGCAGCATATGCAGGTACAGCTACGCCTGAATGGGCCACGTCCTGCACGAGTGTCTTCAGTCATTATAATTAGCTAAGGCTGCATATGGCCCCTTCCTGGCTGTTTTGTTAGCTGTGAAATACGTTTTAAATGGACTCTTGTGCTAATCTCACATTTGTGTTTGAAAAATAGGGGAGGAAAAAAAAACATTTCCCCCATGTTTGCTCATTTTCCTGTCACTTTCTTGGTATATTTTCAGGCTAAAGAAAGCCTTTGCAAAGTTGTATCCTTTATATTCTCTAATACTCAAGTTTTAATTGTGTGTGGCCTCTTAGCTGAATGCTTTTTCCTATATTTTGCTACAAACATTTGTACTATTGTGTGCTATGACTTTTTCACTCACATAGACTGAAGCCTACAGATACCTTTATTTAATTATTGACTTTAAGATCCAAAGAAATGAAAAACAGTGACGAGTCAATGACCAGCCAATAACAGATAAACCACTATGCAGAGAATTTAGATACTGCTTCATTAAATATGATCTCATTCGTACCAACAACATAAATCAATACAAAGGCTACAATATCCTGCAGTTCTTTGTCGGTAAAGCCTTTTTGTTGCATAGGTCACTTCTCAGATTCCAAGAAAGCCCCAACCGGCCCTAACATCACCCCAGCCGGCCCTAATGTCACCCCAACCGGCCCTAACGTCACCCCAGCCGGCCCTAACGTCACCCCAGCCGGCCCTAATGTCACCCCAACCAGCCCTAATGTCACCCTATGGGGGTGCATCGTTCTTAACCAACAGATGGAAAAAGAGGAAAATAAAATGGAAAAAACCTCCTTTGATACATTTTGATGTTGTTCCTGTAAAACCTTAGCAGAGAAATGATGCCTCTGCCCAAACTGCAAAGGGCTAGAGGCTGCAACTGAATCTGAGTCTTTTTTGGTCCTAGTGGCCAAATCAAGTGGCCAGGAGAGATGGCCGAAAGGTACAGACTGACTACAGACTGACTACAGACTGACAGCCTTCCTCACATCTGTACCTGGCATTAGCAGGAACACTCAGAACCATGGAGCGTGGGCCGGTCTCCAGCCCACTGGATGTATGTCTGTGTGAAGCAGGAGTTACCGAGATCATTTAAAGGACCCCCCCTGCTCCCGTGACACCTCCAAGCAGACAGCCAGCCTTTGCCAGGGGAGAAAACGAGCTAATACAGACTCACAATCTGAGGCTGCAACCTAATGAAATAGATGGAGAATAAGGCAAAGTTGATGTCACCTCAAAATCTTCAGAAAATCCATGCTGATCATTGGAGTAAAGCTCTGTGGCGTGCTTGATGAAATGCTTCACTAGAATGGCCTCCATGTCATCTGAAAGAGAGACAGTTACTGTTCCCAGGTGAAACAAGGCTGCACCAATAGGACAACATCAACATGAATCTGAAACGCAAGCAGAAATGATCATTCAGCTTAGTTATCAAGATGTTTCTTAGATGATTGTCATCTCTCCCCATTTATGAACCTTACTCAAGAGGTGTCTTTTCAATATATTTAACACGTAGAGCAGGGGTGAGCAATCTTATTCGCAAAGCGTGTGCATGCAGGTTTTTGGGATAACCTGTAGGTCAGCTGTTCAAACCCAGGTGTGAGGATTCTTCAGCCAATCAGTGCTCTAATTAGTTATCTAATTAGGGAGTTGCAGCGAAAACCTGCATACACAGCGGCCGCTTGCGGATAAGACTGCCCAACCCTGACATAGAGCGTTTTGTTTTAAGAAGTCAGGTCAACATGCATCACAGTAACTACACCTTAATTACTTACGATTCTTCTGTCCTGTAAAATCCGACATTGTCACTCACAATGCATCAGCAGTTCACCTCTTGTTTCACAACAACTCAACAACATCAACATCAGCAGCCCTGCTAGGAATTAAACTGGCAACTAAATACCATGTTATGCAACAAGCATAGGACCATTTTACTGGTACAAGGCCCCTAGCATGGGACCCGTTCGATGCGCCTTACAGGAGAGAATGATAATTATCTGACTAATGAATAAACCCACGTTTCTCTACACACAAGGTTCGTGGATCGTAGATTTCCTGCAAGCAGCATGATTGACTATTGTTGATGCCGGAAGCCAGTTTGGTGCCCCTGCTTAGAAGCCCTCAGCAACACTACAGTGTGGCTAAGCGCGTACATACGCCAGCCAGCAGAGACACAAGAGCTGCTTACACTTCAGAGACTCCGCTTTAAGAAAGTATGCAAGCTGTAATCAACGAAACAAGATCTGGCAGCCATATTGTTTGGTGGCACATTTAAGAGAAGATTAAGGAGGTCCTGTGGAGACAATTAGCAAACGCAGCAGTGGACTCATTATTCCCACATATGCTCGTCCTAACACTCCCCTACTGAAATCCCATGTCACATCTCACTGTCACGCAAGCCTCGCTCTCCCCCAACTTATGTCCAATGAACGTGAAAAGAAAACCTGTCCAATCAGAGCAAGGACTTGCAGAAAGTTTTTTTTTCTTTTCCCCTCGCTCTCCTTCTTTGCCATGCATGTAGAGACGCAACAGAGTGAGAAATTGCAATAATCAACTGTTTATTTGACTGAAAACTTCGCCGTCGCATTTTGACGGTTCCATTTATGTGGGAGGGATTTTTTTTTCCTGGGAGGGCTTTTCTGAGGGGAACTCACATGCTCACACCAAGTCACTATGTTTATACGCATACGTCTTACAAGCAAATAAACACACAGAAATGCATACACAAAATTACTAGCTATGTATTATAACAAAAAATAATCGCTGCCAAATGTCCCCACAATGTAATACACACAAACACTGGTCGTCCTAACAGAATGTACAGACTTCATATCACAGAGGTTACACGCATTCGGGTTTTATACCGTATTGAAATTCTTTAATACACGGCCATTTCCTTGCAAAAGGGAACGCCGGAACAAAACTTTTTTTTTAATTAACTAAATAAAATGAAACCTTTCAGTGTTTTAAATCGGAACACTGGCAACTTCCAAATATTTATTCTCTATCCCTTTAAAATGAATTAAGTGTAAAAAAAATATGGCAACACAAGGTGCACACTGGCAACCTCATTAATCAATTATTAAATAAAAAAATTAGATAACCAGAATTAGACCATAAAATGAAGTCTAGCAGAAAAAAAGAACTAAGTCCATATTGTATATGGACTGAAAGAACACAAAAGAAATTATTGATTTTCTCAGACTGTTACCAGGTTGATCATAGGCTGACGGACGCTGTAAAAAACAAGCCACATTTATCACAAATGACACCCCGGCAACGACATTTCATTTTCCCATCGTCTAGCCCTCTTATCCAGACGCAGATAAAAACTTCTTGCGAGACATTTCCATGGATTTTTCATTAAAGCCCACTGAAGCTTGGTTCCCAAACCGATGATTTGCGATGTCACGTGAAGATGAACATGTCGATGGGACGATAATGGAGAATAAGAGCAGGGACTGAGCTGGTAAACACCGAGTATCCATTTCCAGACGGAGGTGCTGACATGGAGGAGGCCGCTGTGCTGTGGGGCTTCTACAAAGCAAAGTCTCCACTGACACATTAACATCAGAGCTGCTGCTCACTCCAGGGTCACAGAACCTCACGTGCACTTCTGTAGGTCCAATTTACGGGGTCTTGTGTTGTGGCATCTCATCCACCATGTCCCTTGTCCCCATCATGCCTCCTGGCGTGTGTCACCGAACCACTACGTCTACGGCAAGATGGCGGCGCGCGTGAGTGCTGCGGCTTGGTGCCCTGTAGTTCGGTGCTTTTTAATGTGTTTAGTTTGTATTTCGCGGCAATTGTATGGTGATCTCTGCCAAGCACAATGCGTATACAGTCGTGCAAAAACCCGATCAGCATCGGTTTTCAAAACAGCATTCCCATCACGGACTATTTCCAACAAACCAACAACATACCACCTGAAATATGGAGGACACCGGGATCTCCATGGATTGTTGTCGGCTCTCACAGACAGCGACGACGGAGACGGGACAGGAAACAGAAACGGGGATGTCGAGCCGGCCTGATAAAGAGGCTAAAGAAGGATCCTCACAGACCACCGCTCCCTAGCGTCTTCCTGGCAAACGTCAGATCCATCGTGCACAAAACGGATGACCTAGAGCTACGGATAGCAAACAGCAACTTCGTCCGGGACTGCTGTGTGCTGATCCTAACTGAAACCTGGCTACATCCTGCTATACCCGACAAAGCTGTGCAGCTAGCAGGCCGCGTCATTCACCGGAACGACAGGAACAGTGACTCTGGTAAGAAAAGAGGAGGTGGTCTCTGCATTTACATCAACAATGACTGGTGCTCACAAAGCCATGTTACTCATAAATACTGTTCCCCTGATCTTGAGGCATTAACTGTCATCTGCCGCCCTTTTTACTTACCTAGGGAGCTAACTGTAGTCTCCATTACGGCTGTGTATATCCCCCCAGATGCTAACGTGGACGTAGCTCTAAGCTATCTTCATGGATGCATTAGTAAACAACAACTGGACCAGCCGGATGGGGTACACATAATAGCTGGGGATTTTAATCAGGCTTGCCTGAAAACTGTTCTCCCTAAATTCACCCAATATGTGAAATATGCCACCAGGGAGAGCAACACCCTTGACCATGTTTACTGTAATATTAAACATGCATATAAAACAGAGCCACACCCTCACATTGACCAGTCTGACCACCTCTCGCTGCATCTCGTACCCTCCTATACTCCCTACATCAGGAAAAGCAAGCCAATCATCAGGGTGATCAACACCTTGCCCGGGGACGCCCTCTCCCAGCTTCAAGACTGCTTCACAACCACGGACTAAAGTCTTTTTGAAGGCCACGATTTGGAGGAATTTACAGTGACTGTGCTATCATACATTGTTTACTGTATTGATATGGTCACCATCACCAAACGCGTTAGGGTATTCCCCAACCAAAAACCCTGGATGACGAGTGAAGTGCGGCACCTCATCAGGGACCATAACGCAGCATTCAGGTCAGGAGACAGGGCACTGTACAGTGCATCCAGAGCTGACCTGAAGAAGGGCATCAGGGCTGCTAAGGTCGCATACAAAAGGAAAATAGAGGGAAACATCACAGACAAGAACCCACGTCAAGTGTGGCACGGATTGCAAAACATCACCAACTACAAGGGCCACCAGATCACACCCCCTTCCGCCGATGCTACAATGGCAGAGGAGTTAAATAACTTCTTTGCCCGGTTCGAGGCAAATGGTCATTCAGCACCCCCCCCAGCCTTCACCAACACCCCGCTACTCCTCCAGGAACATCAGGTGAGGAGGGTCCTGAGGGAGGTTAACCCAAGGAAAGCAGCTGGACCGGACGGAGTACCTGGCAAGGTACTCAAGGCGTGCTCAGACCAACTAGCAGGAATCTTCACCAAGATCTTCAACATCTCCCTGTCCCGAGCCATCGTCCCATACTGCTGGAAATCCTCTACCATCATTCCAGTTCCAAAAACATCTGCCTGCAAAAACCTGAACAACTTTAGGCCTGTGGCATTAACATCTGTGGCAATGAAGTGCCTGGAAAAGCTGGTTGCCAAGCACATCAAAGACTACCTCCCTCCATCATTTGACCCCCACCAGTTAGCCTACAGGGCAAACCGTTCCACCGAGGACGCCATTGCCATCACCCTCCATGCGACGCTGAGACACCTTGACCACCCGGGTAACTATGCAGGACTGCTCTTCATAGATTTCAGCTCAGTCTTCAATATAATAAACCCGGACATTCTGATCAAAAAAACTCCTGGACTTACGCCTCCCCCCCTCCACCTGCGCTTGGATTAAAGACTTCCTCTCCAATAGGCCACAACAAGTGAGACTCGGTCGCCATCTTTCCCCTTCGCTCACACTCAGCACTGGCTCCCCCCAAGGCTGTGTGTTGAGCCCACTCCTGTACACACTCTATACATCAGACTGTTCCCCCACCCACCCCTCCAACCTCATCATAAAGTTCGCAGATGATACCACAGTGGTCGGTCTCATTTCAGGGGGCGATGAGACAGCATACAGAGATGAGGTGCAGTCACTTGCAACTTGGTGCACATCAAACAACTTACTTCTCAACACACTAAAAACCAAGGAAATCATCATAGACTTCAGACGCAAACGCACTGCCCATGCTCCACTGAATCTTAACGGGGAATGCATTGAGCAGGTGGCGTCAGTTAAATTCCTAGGGGTACACATCGCCGAAGATCTCACTTGGTCCACCAACACTAAAGCAATAACAAAGAAGGCCCAGCAGCGTATGCACTTCCTGAGAATTCTCAGGAAAAACCATCTGGAACAGAAGCTGCTGGTGTCCTTCTACCGGACAGTCATCGAAAGCATACTCACCCTCAGCATCACAGTGTGGTATGCGGGATGCTCAGCAGAAGAGGAAGGCTCTGCAGAGGGTCATTAACACAGCCCAAAAGACCATAGGCTGCCCTCTGCCCTCCCTGGAAGAGCTCGCCGACTCCCGTTGCCTCTCCAGGTCCAGGTCCATTCTCAAAGACTCTGCCCACCCAGCCCACCACCTGTTCAACCCGCTTCCCTCCGGCAGGCGGTTCAGGTCAATAAACGGCCGCACTACAAGACTTTCCAACAGCTTTTTTCCCTGGGCCATACGTTCACTTAACAAAAGCAATATCCCTCTGCAGACATTGGGCACCCACCACCCCAACCCCCCCCCCCCCCCACCGTCTGCAATGATTAACTGTGTCTCTGGAAATTGTATTTGAGCACTTTAACCTCATCACCTTCGCACTTTATCACCAGGCACTTTATAGTCTCATGCTGCTATGTTTGCTACGGTGTTATACCTTTGTGCAGGGGAGTGTCTTGTTTTGTCTGGGAGGTAGGGACTAATGTTTTGGGTGAGAGGAGTGGTGAATAGGCTTGGGGGGAGTGTATGAGTGAGTGAGTGTGGGCTACGTTGGGACTGAGGAGAGGGTGGGTGTGTGAGAGAGTGAAATGGAAGGGTTTTTACCTGTCTGCTACTTATTTATTATTTTTATACATATTTGTTATTTTCAACTATATTCGTTTTGAAGCACTGACCAAGAGTGGCAACTCTATATTTCGTTGTATTTTATGCAATGACAAATAAAGTTTCTTCTTCTTCTTCTTCTTCTTCTTCTTCTCCAAAGCCCCACGCATGGACTCCTGGCACCCCAGTACACCTCTCCACAGAGCACCTGAACTTGACGGGGGGCCAAAGGCCCAAAACAACCCACAATGCATCTTGGTCCTGCACCGGAAGAGCACCGGCCAAGCGAGCTACTAACTTCCCACCTGGAAATCTGCCATTTTAAACATTGTTCTCTTAGACAACTTGTTTCCCACAGTAACAATGGCTCTTTGTTTCAAAAAGTTTATCAACAATCTAACTTCTAATGGCTAGACGAGAAACATTTTGATGGAGTCTCTCAGACTTCATTCAAGGTAGGAGTTGGTAGAAGACTTGGAAGAAGCTTATAATGCCGACCACCTCTCCTCAGAACATCACCCATCTGACAGCTGAGAACTTTCCTTAAAAGCTTAATCTGAAAGCCACCTTGTGATTCTTTACATCACGAGAATCTCCAATATTTTAAGACAGAATACTTTCTCATCCTGAAAGGACTGTTTCTTCACTTGAAGTTTTAATAAAGTTCAGAGAAACCAAAAATAACAACTGACAGTCACTAATTACAGCAAACATTTTTTGACTCCCCTGACAGAAACTGACAAGAAACAAGGGAATCATTAAAGAGAGGAAACACACCCCGCTAAACTTTTCTGCTGCGACAGCTGCAGCTTTTCTCGCTTTCCTCTCAGTGCAAATTGGATGCGACCTTTTATAATCTCCCATATCCATACACCGGAATCTGTAACAATGGCATTTCCATAATGGGGTGAGTTAGGGGACTCACTCACAACAAAACAACAACAATAATCAAGTATTACTCTATGGAATCTTACAGCCTTTGTCTTCAGAGTTTGCATCAGCTTTCAGATCGTCTGTCGATCTCCGACCTGGTGACCCCCACACCATGGGTCTCCAGTTTAGCTTCTCTCACTTTGAAGAACACCAGAACCTGAGTTTTTAGTTTTCCAAAAGTTTTTCTATATATATTTCTCAGAGCACCATACATAAACACCCTCGGAGTACTGAATACTTTTTGTTTGCTTACTAAGCCTGCTGAAACCTCTCTCTAGTGGATCAGTCACAGATTTAAACTGGATTTCATCATAATCACTTCTTTTCTGAGGCTTCCGCAGGAACGAGGGAATATTGGTTGTGCATATAACAAAACAGAGAGAAGGGCAGCGCCGCCCAGTCCCGGGTGCGAGAGCGGAGAACGACCATGCACATCCGGGACGTAGCCTGCAGAGACTTCTGTGTACAGAGAGACGGCAGGGAGACCTGCATAAACACCAGAGCATCTCACCGGTGGAGAAAGCGTGACTGAGAGCTGAGGGACGAAGGATGCACTAAGTCACCGAAGGCCTGACGAGAACAGCCACTCAGACTCTCATTACAAGGTGTAGAAAGAAAACACATGTTTATGTGATCCATGAGTAATCTGTCAGTACTGTGCATTGTTAACAAGATGGCTGAAAGTGTGAGCGTTACACAATCCACTTCTCTGTGGTAAATTGATATTCCTGATGTGTTAAAGAAAGTCAGGAAGAACATTACACACGGTTCCAGGATGACCTGGGGTGCTGTTTAATACTCTTGCTATAGCACACGTACACTGCAGTATAAATAGTCAGAACTAGTGACCTACGCTTACAAATAGACCTGGCACTTAAATTAGCAAATAAACGACGCCGTGTCCTTCGTAGAGATTAATGACTCAGAGCGCGGAAGAGGCAGACGAGCAACCAATGAAACACCAAAGCAGAGCAAAGCGTAGTCTAGTTATTTTGTTACCTACGTTAAAATAGACAGAATAGTATGTATATAGTTACATGGGAGTGCATTATGTCATTACAGCAGACTACAGATGATGTACTTACAACAAACAGCATACTATTTATTTGCAGTGGACTATGGTCTGCACCATACATTTATAATAGAAACTGTACTGTCTGTAGCTATAGGATACCTTGTAGTTATAGCAGACAGTGTAAGATCTGTAGTTATAGAATACTGTGTAATTACAGTAGACATTTAACTGTCTGTAGTTATGATAGATAGGATGTAGTTACAGTAGAAACTGTCTGTAGCTATAGGATACCTTGTAGTTATAGCAGACAGTGTAAGATCTGTAGTTATAGAATACTGTGTAATTACAGTAGACATTTAACTGTCTGTAGTTATGATAGATAGGATGTAGTTACAGTAGAAACTGTCTGTAGCTATAGGATACCATGTAGTTGCAGTAGATACCATACTGTCGGTATCCAGTGTACACTACATGGCCAAAAGTATGTGAACACCCCTATTAATTACTGGAATTAGCTAATTAAGACACACTCATTAAGGCACTGGTGTATAATTAAGCACATAGCCATGAAATCGTCAGCCACGAACATTGACAGTTCAATGCCAACAAATGACGTTCCACTTGGCATCATCGCAAGACGACATTTTTCCAGCAAGTCATTTATGCCCTGCTAGAGCTGCTCTGGTCAGTGTGACATGATTTTGAAGGTCCAAACATCTGGGATCAAGTTCAGCTGCGAGGTGCCCGATCACATGAGCTCCTGGAGAGGTATCTGATCACCCAGCATCAACACCCAACCTGAATGGCGGCAAATCCCACCAGCAAAGTTCCAGTATCTAATGGAAAAGCCCTCCCAGAAGAGCAGAAGCTATTATTGCAGCAAGAAGCTGACCAGCTTCATGGTTAAAGCAGACAGTGAACTATGCAGCCAGAAAAGACGAAGCGTACTGTCTGTGCTGGTCTCTGCGAATCTCCATCTGAGCAGAAGTCAATCGAGTTTGCCAGCTGTAGGACATTTCTTCTCTTAGAGCATCCTGTGGCATTTGCCATAAAAACCCTCAAAGCAGTAACGTAATTTAAAAACCAGTTCCAGGAACACTTACAGTGCCAGACAAATATAGAAATATGTGTATGACAAGAAAAAAATACCTGGAAAGAAGCACAGAGACGGACTGACCATAAGCTAAGACCCTCACGCTGGCGTGTGGAGTCACAGCGGGGTCCAGTCGTCAGGACAGCCTCCATGACTAAAATGAGCTATGGGTAACCATGACGACAGCCCCGCCTAGCGCCCTGCTGCGGTGAGGGGGGCTCACCTGGGATGGGGATGACGGGGAAGCTCTCGTTGGGGACCACACGGGGGGAGCTGCTGTCCTCCACGTAGAAGTGAGCCGTCTGGAAGCACCTCCTGGAGACACAAAGGGCGCCTCGTAAATTATGCAGCCACCCCGCCAGAGTAAACACAGATGGCACCCTGGACGTCCATTAATCAGACCGAAGCGACGGCCACCTAAACCAGCATGGCCCTGCTTTCTGTGGGCGGTGTGTCGGCAGCGCTCTGGAGAGGCCAGACACGCCACGCCTGTGGCAGAAACGGCAGACTCGTGACACCAACGTCAGCCCCGCGACGGCTTGTCGGAGAGCGGAATGTTCCGGTAAGGCGCAAAACAAACACAAAGTAAAACAAACAGATAAGACACACACATGACCGGCGAAGGAAGAACCAGGCGATAGACAAATGTAAAAGAGGAGGAAGTGAGTGAAAGTGGCTCTAGGGAAGAATGGGCAGGATCCCAGTCCTGGTGGCTCCCTGGCACAGAGGGGGGGGGGCTTCAGCCTACCTGTACTTCAGACAGAATAGGGAGCAGAGACTGGTCATCCTCGGAGGAAGAGGAGGTGGCAGGCAGAGCCGGGAGCGAGCCTCACATACTGCTGCTACTGCCAAGGCCTGGAGGAGAGGGGGAGGGGCCACTGGGGGCCTGTGTCACCCTGCCTATAGCGATAGGCGGGGGGGAGGGCTGGAGGAGGCCCGCTAGTCCACAGAGCCACCCCCGCTGCTGGCGGCACTGCCCCAGCAGCGGAATCAGGTTCCAGTGCTATGGGAGGGGGAGGGGCCAGCGGCTCAATGGCATTACCAGTGTCCCTCGACCCCCAGCTTTTCCCGCACTCCTTCCAAACCCTCCCTACCCCATCCACAAACAAGCGGTGCCTTTCGTCCCCCCCCACCACCTTGAGTATCTGCCATTGGATTAAGCTGCCGGCATCACAGGGGGTGGGGGGGCGGCTGAAATGGCAGCCTGTGAATGAAGTGGGCTTAGTGAGCGGCCGCCCTTCAGGAGTCCCAGCCGGATGAGGGAGGCTCCTCATGGTCAGTCTGCAGGTTTGTCACAGAAGGCCAGGTGATCGTGCTCTTCTGAGCACCTTCAGCTACAGGAGTCAGTGTTCAGAGATGCTGTTCTGCACTAATAAACAGCACGGAGCTGCAGATTCTCTCCTTTAACAGGGAAGCCAGGGAATCTCACACCTCAACAGCTCTACTCGCCTCAGAAGGGCAGCCGGGGAAAGCGTGGCAAAAGGCGGGGGCTCAGGGGGGCTCAGGGCAGTCCTGCTCCAAGTGACAGCCTTGTCACCCTAATTCTCCTCTCAGCAGGGGAGGACAGGCCTATTTCCCAAAGTGCCCCACAGCCCGGCTGGGACTGCCAAGCAGCTGCTGCCCCCCAACCCCCCATGAGGATATCCGGACAAGGAGGGTTAAAATGGCACACCTCCCGCAGCCTGAAGGACGATGACCTTTGGCCGGCCCTGTACGCTGTGCATTGCTAGCATGCCAGGAACGTCCTGTGAGGCAAGCTGATCTGCAGCCGGAGTCGTAAAACCTGAAATGCGACTGGTGCGCAATAAAAGCAACACGGGGTCACGTGTGTGTGCGTGTGTGTGTGTGTGCATGTGTGTGTGCGCGTGTGTGTGCGTGTGTGTGCGTGTGTGGTGTGTGCGTGTATGTGTGTGTGCGTCTGTGTGCGCGTGCGTCTGTGTGCGCGTGTGTGTGCGTGTGTGTGCGTGTGTGGTGTGTGGTGTGTGTGTGTGTGCGTCTGTGTGCACGTGTGTGTGGTGTGTGTGTGTGTGAGTCTGTGTGTGTGCGTGGTGTGTGCGCGTGTGTCTGTTTATCGCAGTTGCTAACACTAATTGAAGTAACCTTTGCAAATGTCACTCTTAACTGTAGTGAATCTGCGGTCACCCCATGCTGGGGCAGATTTCCTGATCACACAGCGGGGTGGGGTTGGGGGGGGGGGTAGCTAGGCGCCCCGCTTCTATGCATCTCCCCACATGCTTGTTGCAGCCCCAACACAGCGTGTGATGCAGGGACTCTGATACGCCCCCTGCTGACGTGTTGTGATGGGACAGGCTCCAGGCACCGTATCCACAAGGCCCGAGTCGCCGTGTCCCTGCCATTCGCAGCGAGAGTTGAGGAGACACTTAAGATCAGCAGGGCCTGGGCTCTGTCAGCCTGTCATTATCTATCAAAATGTCACCTCGTTCATACCCCCTCATCTGACACAGGAGAGCACCATAAACTGGCAGAATGCAGTCTCCAGTAACAAATATCAGGTGGCATGTGGCTCTTCTAGTTAGGAATTGGTGTCTGTGTCCAGAAGGTTGCTGGTTTGAATCCCATGGCCAGAAGTAAGAGCGACTGGCGCTGTGTCTGACTCACCTGTATCTGCTGCGTCTTACAGGAGAGCTGGACCGGATATGCAAAAAGCGAACTTCAAGTGCTCACTACTTGCACAATGCCAGTAAAGACAATCTATTCTGCTACTAAGTAGAAAAGCTGAAGTCTATAAAAACGGCAGGTGGATGTGAGAAATGGGGCCGGCAGTTCTGCCCTCCTGCCCAGTGTGCTGACAGTGCCCAGGCAGGCCATGGCCGTCACCCCCCCAGGGCTCCTGATTGCAGTGTAAAGAGCTACTAGCATGTGGGAGGGGGCCACGGCATGAAGGCCGGCAGATGGTGTGTCCCACCCCCACAGGCCAGGGGAATGGGGGACTGGGACGGGGCACAAGGAGTCACTGGTGACTGGTGATCATGCCCGGGTGGCTGTGAATAAGATGGGGGGGGGGGGGGGCGGGGGGGGGGGGGGGGGGGGGGGGGGCATCGGGTGGGGGCAGGAAAGGTCAGCCACTTGGAATGTGAAAGCTCTGGGCCTGACTGCCAAGGCGTAGTGGTGTGACTGGGCTGGGGAGAAGCAGAGGGTGCCAAAAAAATGCCCAAAAAGCGCTTCTGCAAGCAGCTCTGTGGAGTGCTGACGGCAGCCACGCCACTGGGGGATGGTAAATCTCATTTAGGTGGCTTTTATGGCCCGTATCGGTGCACCGTTCCGGGCCAGTGGCCAAGAGACACGGGCCTGTGGAAGTGCTGATGGCTAAATAGCGACTCGCTGCCCTACTGTCAGTATGGCCCCGCTGCCAGCGTCACCCCGCACCCCGGAACCACCTCACTGCCGGCGTCACCCCGCACCCCGGAACCACCTCACTGCCGGCGTCGCCCCGCACCCCGGAACCACCTCACTGCCGGCGTCGCCCCTCACCATGGTGCCACCTCCCTGTCAGTGTCGCCCCACCCCCAGCGTCGCCCCACTGCCAGCGTCTCCACTGCTCCTAAAGCACTGGCTATTTCCCATCCTTAAACCCAGAAATCAGACTGGGGAGCTAAAAAATATGCAGCACCCCAGATGATCCATGGTTCAAAGAGAGCCCAGTGACCTGAGGATGCAGATCGCCATGACAACAAGCGCTCTCGCTGCATCCTCCGAAGCTCAGTAGCTGAACTGCGGGTCTTGGCAGACGAGATGGTGCATGACGGGGTTCAGGCAGGCAGAACTCACCTCCAGTAGACCAGCACGGCGAGCAGCAGGACCAGGCAGACGAAGGTGAGGGCTGACACCACAACCAAGGGGATTATCCACTCCATCTTGCTGGAGCTATAGATTGGGCTCTTCATGTTGGACACTGTGCTCCTCTCTGTGGGGGACAGACAGCAGCAGGATTACTGATGACAGGCCTCTCGCTGGAACAGGCAGGCCAGCACATGGCATACATCTCCTCTGCATCATTCAGAGCTGCAGCATGAAACACACAAAGAAACTGCCACCGCTTTTCAGGAGACAGCAGCAGCGAATGCTAAGAACCACAGTTTACCCACAATCTGCGGTTCAACCGTAACACCTCTTACATGTCGCTGTTCCCGACGCCCTTTCCGCTTTGCCCTGTAAGGGGCGCTGTCATTCCCGCTGCCCTTTCCTCTGTGCCCTGTAAGGGGCGCTGTCATTCCCGCTGCCCTTTCCGCTTTGCCCTGTAAGGGGCGCTGTCATTCCCGCTGCCCTTTCCTCTGTGCCCTGTAAGGGGCGCTGCTGTTCCCTATAAATACTCCTTCGCTGCATGATCAGGTTCCGACTCAGGACAGCACATGGTCACGCACTTCTGAAGGCGCTGACGAGGCGTATCTGTAACAAGTTCATTCTTAGAAAGGCCTCCCACACCCCCACGACCCCCACTGGCGTCAGCGTTACGAAAAACTGGTGCCAGAAGATTTCAATGTCTCGGACAAATGGGAGAATTTCCATAAAATATTTTCTCTGCTTATTATTGAGCTTAATAATAACGGATAGTCAGGCTACTAAAGAATGAGATCAAGGAATGTAGTTTCATTTTTTATTGAAAAGCAGGCTAATTCAAATAAAAGAGGTCCTGTTAACAGACTCATTGGCATAATGCAAAAATTAATCATGCAAGCCTATACTGTCACAGGTAAAGTGTTTTATTCAGCTTCAGGCTTGCATATTCTCAGATTAAATAAAACAGAACACAAACTATTTGCAAACAAACCAAAACATGCATGCAGACCTATCTGGCTGTAGCATTTTAATTACAGTCTGCTGCGGCCCACTTGAAATCAGATCATTTCTGTTCACTACACGCCATAGCATCAGTGACTTCACATCTCAGATTCATGTATCTCAGATGCATTGTCGTCATTGTCAGTAGACCTGCTTGGTTTCAGAAACCGCTTTTTAAGGTTCACTTGTCCAGCCGTGTCTGATCTCGCTCACTGGTGTGCGCGCGGCTGTTTCATCACGCATGCGGGCAAGCCTATAACCTTCACATTCAGAAAATAAAATAAGATTTGTTGTGAATTCTTTCGATTTGGGACTCTCGCTCTGATAACTGTATTGCTTCCGTATGGGACTTTTATTGCAGCATATATTAGTTTAGAGGTTGCCGGGAAAAAACGGGAGGTTGTCGTGTAAAGTGGGGGTTGCCATTTTTTCTATCTCTCTCCTTACAGCGCCGAGCTGAAGCAGAAGTCACTGCCGATGTAAGCATTTAATGTTCGAATTATATGAGTGTTACACGATCGCCTATGCGATGTTTATATGGGTTAGCGGATATTATAAAGTTGTATAAGCGCTTGCCGCGAGTTCGCTTGGCGAATAAATATAACCCGGCTGCGTTCGCCGGTTGGACGCATTTAGTGTTAGATACGCCGATATCCTAATGAACAGGTCTGTTAATGTTTGTTTAAGTTAATGGATGTAGGCTGTTCGTGTAGGTAATGCATAGTTATAATTATAGTGATTTTTGCTTCAGTGCTGAATGTATTGTTGTAACAGTGTCATGTGCCTCAATGTCTTTATTCTGTTTATGTCCATTTAGAATTCTGTCTTCAGTTCAGTCCACGTCGCAATCCTGTTTAAGTGCTCCATTTTGTATGTGGGATTATAATCTCCTACGTAGTAAAGTTCCTAACTCTGTCTAACGACTCAGTGCTCTCTGACCGGAGCCCTCCAGCGGTCGATCACATCACACACCGGCATCAGGGGGGTAGAATCCCCAACAAGATTTATTTATTTATTTTAAATAGAAGGATATGTGGACATTTAATTTTAGCATATTTTAATACTCAAATTGTGCCTAATGGTTTTTTTTTCCACTAGACATTATGACTAGAGAAGGAGCTCAACAGATTTCCACACTAAAAGTCCAGTAATTACCGGAAAATGGAAATTATGCCCTCATGACCCCCAGCGCCCCCCTCGCTGTGCCCAGAATGTTAACCTGGACCCATAACCCCCAGTGCTACAGAGACAATTTCAGAATGGGGCGGGGGGATGGGTGGCTGCAGGGTAGTGGGGGACTGGGGACAAAGCGGGATGAACCCCGACCCCAATTAACACGCTGATATGCAGAAAAGTGCCACTTTAACTCCTAACATTTAATGCGATTTAACCCTAATAATCCGAGAAATGGCTGATTATTGGCTGTTTCGTCATATTTAATTCCTGTTCCTCTAATAATATTCAGTGTTAAATGTACAACAAATAAACATTAATATCAAACGCTGGCAGAATGCGAGACCCCAGTGAGCCTTACTGCCTCCCAGCCTCTGTGACAGGAATGGCGCGCCAAGGTTCCTCTTCCGAATGGTGGCTGGAAACACGGCAGGCCTCATCCCCCCGAAGCACCGTGCTTGCTGGAGCGTTGGGGGCTAGCCCTCGTGCTCACATGGTGCCGATCCGTGCCATTTAGTCCAAATGACATATGGCCGTCAAAGACGGGAGGTGGCAGACTGGCAAAAGAGCATGTTCCTGCCGTGGCCTGGGCCACAGATGGGCAAGGCTGGGAGAATGGCTGCTTGTGCCGGGGACAGCTGGCCTGGCTGTAGCTGGGTCCTAGTGCCCCCCGCATGGCACCTTTGTCACCGGCAGGTACCCCCGCTGCGGAGGCAGGCAGAGGGAGACGGTGCAGCCGCCTACTCACCCGGCGAGGTGAGCAGGAGGGCCGGCTGCTTGGCTGGCTGGCGGCGGAGGGTGCGATCCAGCCCCGGGGCGGCGAGAGTGAGAGAGAGAATCCCCTGCAGCACACGTCCTCGCAGATGGCTGGCCAGATTGAGCACAAAGTGGCCGTCCATGTGGCCCCGTTGCTGAGCAACGCATGTGGGGGCACCCTCTCACCCGTGTGTGAGCGACCCTTGCACTCGTGCACCTGTGTGGCTGGTGCCATGCCAAATGCACCGGTGCAAGCGCCCCCTCCCCCCCCAGCCTTGGGGCTCGACTGTGAGCAAGCAAACACGAGTCAGCATGTCAGAGCACTGGGGAACCTGGCATGTAGGTATGCGTGATTAAACACCAACAACAACTGTAATCACAAGAACAACAACAGCAACAAATCTTTCTCATCTCCCATGTTCTCCTCACATGAATCGTGCATCAGATTACAGTTAAAACACACCGTACGTTACAGTGGGGCCAAAATAAAGCGTCCAGCATTTGTGTACACATCGAGCAGACGCGCATATCGATTCAAGTGCAGAGGCCCGATTAGCTATAACGTGGCTCATTGACTGTGTCATGCCTCCGACTGGCAGGACTTATTGAAGCTCCTGTGTGCTTGTGGGCATCAGGCAATTATCAGCCAGTGGAGCGATAAGGGGCGATCGATGTCAGCGCTCCCGGATACTGGGCTGGCCACTGAACGCCAAAGCCATTTCTGCTGGATTAAGATACTCAAATAAATAAAAAAAAGGCCATCAAATAGACGTGTGACTCCTGGAGAGGAGCAGAGGACCCCCCAAGCGGAATGGTGCCATCACAGGATTTGACACTGTGGGTGCAGTGAGGCCGCACTAATCCCGTCATCGCAGATCCGCAAGGGACCGAGTGCCAACGGCAAGGAGCCTTGGGAAGAATGTGGGACCCACAGCACGAGCAGGGGCGTTAAACACCTCCAGCAAGGTCAAGATGATGGGGCATCCATCTTTGATTTCACATGCCTCATTGCTGAGTGGCTTACTACATGAGGCACCGCCTAAGCCAAGGATAATCAAATAGTGCCCCCACCCCCCATTTCTCCCGCCTCACCTGTGTGAAAGACGAAAGGCCAATTGTTCTTCTCTGGGCCACTGTAGGAACGTGTGGTGACGTCAGAAGGCTGGATTGCTGAGGTGTCATTCAAGGAAGGCCCTGTAGGGGGAGCTGCGCTCTTCTGAAGCTGGTCACTAGTGGCACTCGCATTGCGCTGTCCTTTCTCTTTAGCAGTTGAGGCTGGGGCGGCTGATGGGGGCTCTTTGGCTACACTGCCCTCCTCCTTTGCCTCGCCCTCTGCGGGCACTATATTCCTGTCCCGCACAGTCTCCTTCTCTCCCTCATCATCCTCATCCTCCTCTCCCTCCCTCTGTCCTTCCTCTCCCTCGCTCTTGCCATCTTTGTCGCCCTCACTGGCACCGCCCTCATGGTCCTTGGCAGTACTGTCAGTGTCTGAGGCCTGGGTGGCCACCGACTCGGCGACGGGAGTGACGGTCTTGGCGACCTGACGGGTAGGAGCGGGGGCCGGGGGCGGGGCTCGCGTGGGCCACACAGAGCTGGGGAAGGAGGAGATGACCCCCCCACTGAAGCCCAGCCCTGCCAGCAGGGTGCTGGTCACCACCGACGCCACCGTGGCCTGACTGCCACTGGATGACGGCCCGATGCCTGTCGCCATAGACACGAAGGAGAATGGGAGGCCGGAGGAGGTCCAGGTGGAGGACCCCGAACTGATGGGAGCCATATCTGCAGAGGATGCTGGGGAGGCAGTGGGCTGTCGGAGAGCGAATGGGAGAGAGTGACGTCAGAGACGGGAGTGGACAGGAGGACAAGTGGGGGGCTGTGGGAGAGCGAATGGGAGAGAGTGACGTCAGAGACGGGAGTGGACAGGAGGACAAGTGGGGGGCTGTGGGAGAGCGAATGGGAGAGAGTGACGTCAGAGACGGGAGTGGACAGGAGGGCAAGTGGGGGGCTGTGGGAGAGCGAATGGGAGAGAGT